TTGGAGGTTGCTGTGAGCTGTAATGCCACGGCACTCTACCCAGGGGGACAGCTTGAGGCTCTGTCTCAAAAAAAAAAAAAAAAAAAAAAAGTACAATTATGTGCTGTATAATAACATTTTGGTCAATGATAGACCACATGCACAAAGGTGGTCTCATAAGATTATCACATTTTTACTGTTTTTTTTTTTATGTTTAGATAAACAAATACTTATTGTTATAGTTGCCTACAGTATTCAGTTTAGTAACATGCTGTATAGGTTTGTAGCCCAGGCTCAATAGGCTATATCATACAGCCTAGGTATTTAGTAGGCTACACTATCTAGGCCTGTGTAAGTATACTCTATGATGTTTGTACAATGGTGATATGTCCTAACAACGTATTTCTCATAATGTGTTCCTATTGTTAAGTGATGCATGATTGTTCTGATAATGATCTATCACTCTTTATGAACCACATTATGTATACTTTTGTTTATATTATATATTCCACTGAAAAATAAGTAGGAATAATATTTTAAAAACAGACCACGTTGTAGCAAAGTAGTCTGCAATATTCATGATTACCGATTAAAATTCTTATGGGTTGGGCAATGCCTGTGGCTCAAAGGAGTAAGGCGCTGGCCCCATATGCCAGAGGTGGCGGGTTCAAACGCAGCCCTAGCCAAAAACTGCAAAAAAACCTCCCAAATAAAGAAACTAAAAAAGAAAAATTCTTGTGGGTTAAAGGATATATTACCTTGGTTCGATTTTTTCTGTCGTAGAATTTCTCATCAAGCTGTTCTGGACATGTCGGAACTGGAATATACCACAGAAATCAGAATACTCCCTCCCCCACCCCCAATTGATCTGCCTCTCACTGGTCACTTCAAAATTTTGAGTATAAGAACATTTAGGTTTATTTTGCTTACCAAGCAAACATTCTTTCAGGCTAGAGGTGCGCTTTCAGGATGATGGGCCAATGATTTGCTTTTGGTTTAGATGCTAATACCTCTATTACTGCACTTAAAAGTAAAGCTAATGGTGGTTTTTTTTTTTTTTTAAGACAGAGTCTCACTATGTTACTTTCCGTGGAGTGCTTGGCATCATAGCTCACAGCAACTTCTAACTCAAATTTCTTTCTTTCTTTCTTTTTTTTCTTTTTTTTGAGATAGAGTCTCACATTATAGAGTTCCCTGGAAGGGCTGTGGTGTCATAGCTCACAGCAACCTCAAACTCTTGGGCTCAAGTGATCCTCTTGCCTCAGCCTCCTGACTAGCTGGGACTATAGGTGCTCACTACAATGCCTGGCTGTTTTTAGAGATGGGGTCTTGCTCTAACTCTGGCTGATCCTGAACTTGTGAGCTTAGGCAATCTGCCTGTCTTGGCCTCCCAGAGTGCTGGGATTATAGACGTGAGCCCCAGGACCTGGCCTAAGACAAATTTCATTTTTCCTTTTTTTTTTTTAAGAGACAGAGTCTCACGTTATCTACCTTAGAGTGCCATGGCATCACACAGCTCACAGCAACCTCCAACTCCTGGGCTTAGGTGATTCTCTTGCCTCAGCCTCCCAAGTAGATGGGACTACAGGCGCTCACCACAATGCCCAGCTATTTTTTTGTTGCAATTTGGCCGGGGCCGGGCTTGAACCCACCACTCTTGGTATATGGGGCTGGCGCCCTACCCACTGAGCCACAGGCACCACCCCAAGACAAATTTCTTGACATTCAGTAGGACCTTAGGAAATAAATTTCTCATTGTATCACCAGAGGGCACTGTTGCATATTCTACGAAAGATTTGGTCTACCATTTCTGTCCATCATGCTCCCGTATGGAAGCTTTTTTATTTCCTTCTTAGCCTTGTACTGAGGCCATCATCATCTCAATAACAGTTCATGTTCACAGTAAGCTGGTGATGGGCAAGATACAAGCCAGCCTGCCTTTGGCATTTAATTTTTCTCCTATCAGCGCCTTTTTTTATTTTCCCCTCTCTAATTTATTTTACTCAATGACCCTGTCTAAAGCTGCTTCCAAACTGCCTGTAGCTCTCCTGGCTCACCTGCTGGTGGTAGTCCCTTTGCTTGATGAACTTGTCTACCACCTTCTCCACTTGTCTGTCACATTCCACCTGTAGATATTTGATCAGGGTATAAAGTTTCCCTGGCCCATAATAGGTCTCCACTATTGGCTGGTGGGTTTCCACGATTCGGGCAATCCCTAGAAGGAAGTGAGAGGGCTGAATTTCAAATATTCTTTCCACAAAAGAATGAATTTGGCTCCCAGGACCAACCCAGGGTCTAACTCAATTCTTTTCAGGTGCTTCACTTCCTAGATTAACATAAAGTAAACTTTTGTAAGTTGACCATCTAAAGGAAAATAACAAACTGGTCAACCTATGGAGGTGGCCAACATAAGGAACTATGCCTACTGTACAGATATGTACATTTAGCACATGTTTGGTGTATAAAAATTAGGTGAATTGAAGGAGGTGGTCAAGGTACGGAGGTGGTTAACTATAGAGCATCTACTGTAGTTCTAGGCAGTGCTAAGGGTTTCTAAGAAAATTTGTTTGTTTAAGGCTGGGTGCTGTGGCTTATGCCTGTAATCCTAGCACTCTGGGAGGCAGAGGAGGATTGTTTGAGCTCAGGAGTTTGATACCAGGCTGAGCAAGAGCAAGATTCTATCTCCACTAAAAATAGAAAAATTATCCAGGTATTGTGGTGGGTACCTGTAGTCTCAGCTACTCAGGAGGCTGAGAAGGGGGATCACTTAAGCCCAGGAGTTTGAGGTTGCTATGAGCTAGGCTGATGCTATGTCACTCTAGTCTGGGCAACAGAGTGAGACGCTTTCAGAAAGAAAAAAAAATCGTAAAAAAAAAGAAAAAAATCGTTAAATATGCACAGTGCTTGGTCTATCAGCAAGCATTTGGTAAGTTATATAGATATTATTTTCTACAGCAGCATTTCTGGAAATAATCACTCTCATTCCTATAATTTATTTTAAGTCTAAATTTGTTTGTTTATTTACTTATTTATTATTTGGAGATAGAGCCTCTGTTGCCCCAGACAAGAGTGCCAAGACATCAGCCTAGCTGATAGTAACCTGAAACTCCAGGGCTCAAGAGATCCTCCTTCCTTAGCCTCCCAAGTAGCTGGGACTATAGGGACCAGCCACAATGATGGCTAAACTTTTTTCAATTTTTTGTAGAGATGGCATCTCACTCTAGGTCAGCCTGGTCTTAAACTCCTGAGCTCCAGGAATCCTCTGGCCTGGGCCTCCCAAGGGTGTTAGGATTGTAGGTGTGAGCCACTGCACCCAGTTTAGAGTTATATTTATTCTTATAGAGTCTGGGTCTTGAAGGTTAAGAAAGATCAAAATACCAGAGACTGTAACTAATCTTGCTAATCAGGTACTGAATCTGAAAGTTAATTTTCCAGTAAGTCAATACGTAGTGAACTACAGGATGACATTAACGGCATCAGGCTAGAGATGAGAGAAGGGATAGGGTACATATGTCACACAGAAATGTCTCCAGTCTCCCTAGAGTGGAGAAAGAGGCTTACCCTCAAACAGAAGAGTGAGTGTATCTGCAAAGATGACCGCAGCTCTTCGATCATTCATATCTGTCCCTAATACTAAAAGCAGATTCTCTTCAGCTTTACTGGCCACCTGAAAAAAGTAGAAAATATATAAATATTCTCATACCAAAGGCTAGTCTCGCACCAGGTATGTCTCAGTTTTCTAAAAAGGCCTCTCAGGCTGAGCACAGTGGCTCATACTTACCCATATAATCCCAGTATGCTGGGAGGCCAAGAAAGAGGATTGCTTGAAGCCAGGAGTTTAAGAGTAGCCAAGGTAACATAAAGAGACACCATCTCTTAAAAAAAATGAAAACTAGGCTCAGCGCCTGTGGCTCAAGTAGCTAAGGCACCAGCCACATACACCTAAGGTGGCGGGTTTGAATCCAGCCTGGGCCCGCCAAACAACAATGATGGCTGCAACCAAAAAAAAAAAAAAAATAGCTAGGCATTGTGGCGGGTGCCTGTGGTCCCAGCTACTTGGGAGGCAGAGGCAGGAGACTCGCTTGAGCCCAGGAGTTGGAGGTTGCTGTGAGCTGTGATGCCACAGCACTCTACCCAGGGGAATAGCTTGAGGCTCTGTCTCAAAAAAAAAAACAAAAAAACCCAAAAGGCCTCCCATTGGCTTCCTGGATTCCAAGCTTTCCTTGATTCTTAGAAGCCCAGGCAGCACAGAGGAACCTCCCGTGGGGAGCTCTGGGCTGTCTGAGCTGCAGGCAGGAAAAAGAAACTGGAGAAGGTGGTAGCTCCTCTTCCATTCAGAGGTACAAAAATGCTTTTCTTTTTGAGACAGAGTCTCACACTGTTGCCCTGGGTAGATTGCGTTGGCATCATAGCTCATAGCAAACTCAAACCCTTAGGCTCAAGAGATCCTCTTGCCTCAGCCTCCTGAGTAGGTTGGGGACTACAGGCACCCGCCACTACAGCAAGCTAGTTTTTCTATTTTAGTAGAGGTGGGGTCTCCCTCTTGCTCAGGCTGGTCTTGAACTCCTGAGCTCAGGCAATGCACATGCCTTGGCCTCCTCGAGTGCTAGGATTATAGGCATGAGCCACTGCACTCAGCCTCATTTTTCTAAGTGGTAGAACAGTGTTCTATATAGTGTTCTAAAATAGTGTTCTATAGAATAGAACTGAGGGGGTATAGTGTATATAAAATTTTGGAGGGAAGGCTCGGCACCTGTAGTATAGTGGTTATGGCACCAGCCATATACACTGAGGCTGGTGGGTTCCAACCTGGCCTGGGCCTGCTAAACAACAATGACAACTGCAACAAAAAATAGTGGGGTGTTGTGGTGGGCACCGATAGTCCCAGCTACTTGGGAAGGCTGAGGCAAGAAAATTGCTTAAGCCCAAGAGTTTGAGGTTGCTGTGACGCCATGGCACTCTACCCAGGGCCACAACTTGAGATTGTTTCCAAAAAAAAAAAAAAAAAAAAAAAAAAGCTTTCTGGGCTTCCAAGAACCAAGAATTAAGGAAAACATTTTGGAAGGGGAAAGGGTCGGGATGCACTGACATTCAGATTAAAAAATACCCCCACAACTCTATGTACACATGCCTGCTGGATTTACTTCTCTGTATCTAAGGGGTGGAGGTGGGAAAGCCTAGGTGTTAACCAAAATCTTTCTTTTTGGGCTGGGCACCATAGCTCAATGGTTAAGAGTGCTGGCCCCATGCACTTGGGGTGGTGGGTTCAAACCCGGCTAGGACCTGCTAAAAAAACAAACAAACAAAAAAAATCTTTCTTTTTCAGGACTTAAGTAACCTTACCTCCTTCATCTCAGTATGCCTTATTTTGAGACTCAAGCCTGATTACATAGTCTTAAATTCACTGACCAAGAATTCTAATCACTCTTAAAAGAAGCCAGGTCCTAGAGAGAGGACTTGCATTGTCAGAGAGCTTGCATTTTAATTTTCCTATACTTTCACCTGGTCTGTTAGATATAGATGTACATCAGCTGATGTCTTAGCTGTGCCTGGTACACAGTAGGCTGACAATAGATATGTTTATGAATGCACATATCCTGTTCTGCCAAACTATAGCAAGAGCAAAAGAGGAGTCATATCCAGAAGAGAGAAAGTATCTACAGAAAACTGGATTCATCCAGTGCCCCCGTCTGCAGGCAGAGGATCATATAATTATCCTGACAAGTAATCAGGATCCATACCTGTTTGCAAAGGTATTCTGAGAACTTGCTTAAGCCCTCCTCATGCAGACCCAGCAGTGGGAAGATCTTGAAGAAGCGCTCCACTTGGGGCAGATCCCCTTCTTTGGTGGCGATGGCAAACTTCTCTGCTACAATGGCTTTGAGACGCTGCTCAGCTTCCTGCAGCAATTTCAGGTTGGCATCAATCATGCTCCCTGCTCAGAGGGAAAACGATGATAATTAATGTAGAAAATGGTATTGTGTCAGGTGTATGCCACTTAATTTGTATACCACAAATATGTATTAAGCACTATGTGCAAGATACTGTGCTAGCAATGTGGTTGATTAAAAGATAAATCAACTTGTGATCAAATACAAGAGATAAGGTTTGTGCAAAAATAACTATAATAAAATTCAGTGTGTGATAAATGTCATAAGAAAAGAGCCCAAAAGTCACATTTCTGGTAGAAGTGATCAGATTAGGCTTCCTAGAAAAGGTGACATTCCATCTCTCAAAGATGGGCAGGATTTTTTTACCTACATAGGAGAGACATACATTTCAGGCAAGGGAATGAAATAAGCAAAATAGCAGCAGCAGAAAGATGAGAGAATATCTGCAGAGTATTATATAGCATATGCCCTGGCCCACAGATATTTGCACAATGAATGGATGCATGAATGAGTAGCATGAAATAAGGCTAGGAAGACAGGGTGAGCCAAGATTACAGAAGATCTAAAATACTAGGCTGAGTATTTCATTTTATAAGTAGTCAATATGGTCAAGTACAAAGAGTACTTTGGTTCTGGCTGGAGAATCAGTAGATCTGGATTCAATTTCCTTTTCCATAAAAGAGAAATACAGTAATGCCCCCCTTATCCTCAGAGGATATGTTCCAAGTGGATGAGTGAGACGTCAGATAGTACTAAACCCTATAGTTTATAAATTAGGCGCAGTAATTACTACTAATAAAATAGAGTAATTAAAACAATATGCTATAATAAAAGTCACGTGAATGTGGTCTCTTGATCTTAAAATTTTATTGTGCTGCATTTACCCTTCTTTTTTTTTTTTTTGGAGATAGTCTTACTTTGTCACCCTTGGTAGAATGTCATGGTGTCACAGCTCACAGCAATCTCAAACTCTTGGGCTTAAGCAATTCTCTTGCCTCAGCCTCCCGAGTAGCTGGGACTATAGATGCCTGCCACAATGCCCATCTATTTTTAGAGATGGGATCTCACTCTGGCTCAGGCTGGTCTTGAACCTGTGAGCTCAAGCAATCCACCCACCTTGGTGTCCCAGAGTGGTAGGATTACAGGTGTGAGCCACAGCGCCTGGCCTTCATTCACCCTTTTTATGATGATTATGAAGAAGGTATGGAGTGGGATGGCATGAGATTTCATCATACTACTTACAACAGTGCACCATTTAAAACTTATAAAATGTTTATTTCTGGAATTTTCCATTTATTATTTTTGGACCTTGGTTGACCCAGAGTAATTAAAACCACGAAAAGTGAAGCTCCTGATATGGGTAAGAAGACTACTATAATAGTCTGTCTTAGTATAGTATAGGACCTGTATAGGGCCTACCACCAGACAAGACAACTTCCTAATAACTGATATCTTTTTTTTTGAGACGGAGTTTCACTTTGTCACCCTTCATAAAGTGCCCTGGCATCATAGCTCACAGCAAACTCAAATTCTTGGACTTAAGCGATTCTCTTGCCTCAGCCTCCCAAGTAGCTGGGACTATAGGCTCCTCCCGCCCCCAACACCCAGCTAGTTTTAGAGAAGAGGTCTTGCTCTGGCTCAGCTGGTCTTGAACTCATAAGCTCAGGCAGTCCACTTGCCTCAACCTCCCAGAGGGCTAGGATTACAGGCGTGAGCCACTGTGCCTGGCCCTGATAACCTTTTTCCTGGTTGAGATTACCAACTTCCTGGTTCAGCTCCTGTAGCTCAAGTGGCTAAGGCACCAGCCACATACACCAGAGTTGGCAGGTTCGAATCCAGCATGGGCCCACCAAACAACGACCACTACAACCAAAAAAACAGCCGGGCATTGTGGTAGATGCCTGTAATCCAGCTACTTAAATGGCTGAGGCAAGAGAACTGCTTAAACCCAAGAGTTGGAGGTTGCTGTGAACTGTGATGCCACAGCACTTTACCCAGGGCAATAGCTTGAGGCTCTGTCTCAAAAAAAAAAAAAAAAATTATAGATGACCTTAACTAAACTAGAAATCAGCCGTTTGGGAAGCTCACCTTCTTTGCCCTGTCGGCTGAGCTCAATGACTGACTTGTCCAAGCACAAGTAGCGGTGAATGTGGGCTGCAGCCTGCTCATAGTCTTCATTCCTCAAAGCAGTCTGAACTCCATCCATGCAGAACTTCAGATCCAAGATATCATCAGCTCTTTGAATGGCCTGATAGAGGCGGTTCTGCAAAAGGACTTGGCACTTAGAAACAATGTCCCACTCTTTCATATACACTTCTTCAGAAGGCAGGGAGATGCAGGTGCTGAATCTGGCTAACCATGTGTCCTTTTCACATTTCACTGGAAACTCACAAATGCTCCCACCACTGCTCACAAAACTGTTACTGATGATGATCAAGACCCAATAATTATCACACAATTTCATTAGTGTAGTCAAATCATTCATTTTAATGGAAGCAGAAATGGAGATAATATGTAATTTTATTTGGCTTTCTTTCTTTTTTTTTTTTTTTTTTTTGAGACAGAGCCTCAAGCTGTCCCCTGGGCAGAGTGCCGTGGCATTACAGCTCACAGCAACCTCCAACTCCTGGGCTCAAGCGAGTCTCCTGCCTCCGCCTCCCAAGTAGCTGGGACCACAGGCGCCGGCCACAACGCCCGGCTATTTTTTTTTTTTTTTGGTTGCAGCCGTCATTGTTGTTTGGCGGGTCCGGGCTGGGGATTCGAACCCGCCACCTTAGGTGTACGTGGCTGGCGCCTTAGCCAGTTGAGCTATAGGTGCCGAGCCGGCTTATTTTGTTAAATTTATAATAGTATCAAAATGTATCTGACATTTTGGGAATATGACATTGTAAGGCAAGTAATGAAGTAAGTGAAATATGTGGAAGGTATTTTTCTTTTAGAACAAACAAGCATGTTTATTTCTTCTTTTTTTTTAGAGAAAGAGCCTCACTTTGTTGCCCTTGGTAGAGTGCCGTGGCGTCACAGCTCACAGCAACTTCCAGCTCTTGGGCTTAGGCAATTCACTTGCCTCACAAGTGTCCCGAGGCGCTAGGACCACAGGTGCCCGCTACAGCATCTGGCTATTTTTTGTTGCAGTTTGGCTGGGGTCGAGTTTGAACCTGCCACCCTTGGTATATTGGGCCAGTGCCCTATTCTCTAAGCCACAAGTGCCACCCTAAACAAGCATGTTTAAAAAAGCTTTTTTATATTCTGGTTTGTCTTTAGATCATAAACAACTTTTGCCTTTTACTAAAAAATCCCTTTAACATGGAGTAGGTGGCTATGTGGCTATAGTGTTCTGTGGCAAAGCTATTTTTGCAGAATCTGAGCCAACAGATCAGGAAGAGTTATGCTACCTCCAGGGCCACACTGGCCTAGGAAAGATTTGTACAAGAACCCAGGCTCTGTGTTATTCGATGCAGTAGCCACAAACTACAAACGGCTATTGAATACTTATAAACACAAATTTCAAAGACTCAGTGTAAAATTAAAGAAGATAAAATATCTCATTAATATCATTTTATAATAATTACATGTTGAAATGGTATTTTGGATATAAAAGGTTAAATTATTAAATTATTTTCATCTATTCCTTTTTACTTAAAAAATGGCTACAAGAAAATTAAAAATTATATAGATAGTTTATACTAGATTTCTAATTTTTTCCTTTCCAAACTGAGTGCTTTTTTTTTTTTTTCAGTTTTGGCTGAGGCCAGGTTTGAACCCGCCACCCCCGGTATATGGGGCTGGTGCCCTATTCATTGAGCCATAGGCACTGCCCTAAATGCCTTTTTTTTTTGAGACAGGGTCTCAATCCTTTGCCAGGCAGTATAGTGGAATTGTCATAGGTCACTACAACTTCAAACTCCTGGGTTCAAGCAATTCTCCTTCCTCAGCTTCACTAGCAGCTGGGACTACAGGTGTGTGTCACCATGCCCAGCTAATTTTTCTATTTTTTGTAGAGATGGGTCTCCTATGCTGCTCAGGCTGGTCTTAAACTTCTGGCCTCAAGTAATCTTCCTGGCTTGGCCTCCCAAAGTGCAGTAGTGCTGGGATTATAGGAGCCTCCATATCCAGCTTCTCTTTTTTTTTTTGGAGACAGAGCTTCAAGCTGTCCCCAGGGTAGAGTGCTATGGCATCACAGCTCACAGCAACCTCCAACTCCTGGGTTCAAGTGAGTCTACTGCCTCAGCC